CTTTGAAAAACAAACTGCTTTGTAAACTATTATCACAAGCCTCCCTTAACCTGCTTTGTGAGCGGTTATCACAGCCCCTGATAAGTGTTTTCATGGAGTTCTATTTCCTTTCTGTTTACCCCCTTTTCTGCTGAGATAAAGTAAATGCACAAGAAAAAAGGTATAAAGCTGTAACCCACAAGAATAAACTTGCTGCGTTGTGACCATAAGTTACACAGACCTCCAGACTCCGCTTTACTATTTTCTTTCACTTCCACGCACTCTCTCCCTCAGGTTGAACGAGACATCTACACTGGCGGTCTCGGGGACTCCCACAGGTCGGTAGCCCCCCGGCAGATGTGCCAGACCCCAACAGTGCAGAAACCTGCTGCATAACCTCCCTGATTCTCTTGCTCAGTCTCCTGGCCAGACCCTCAGAGTCCCTGCCCTGTGTGCCCTGGAAACTCAGTCAGATGAGCCAAGGTATCTCCAGCCCGGACTCATCCCTGGGCATTTTTGTGGCTTTGGGTGCCCTGATCTTCTCCAGGTCTTGTCCTGCAAACAACTGACCTTCAGGGGGAGTCTGGGTAAGGAGGCTACTTGTCACTTAAATCTAAGGGATTCCATAAGGTCCTGACTTGGGTCCTAGTCACTTGCAAACCTATGCATCTCCATCCCATCCCCAAATGATGAAAGGAAACTTTGTCAGGACTCATGCCAGACAAATAGGGTGGGGCCTTTCATAGAGCCAAGTTCTTAGGCCATCAATAAGAGATGGAAACCACCTGAAGGAAGGTGCCACGGTGGGAATCTGGGTGGCAGGAAGCAGTCACTGAACTGTCAGGGTGAATCCTGGCCCTCACACACCCTTTCTCCTCCTGAACTCCTTGTCTCATTTCTCCTGTCTGCTCTTTCCCCGCCTTTCCCAAGGCTCAAAACACTTGGTAACCTTGGACAGTTTCAAAACTGGAGAGATTTGGCCACAACATTTTCAAGCTAGGAAGGTCCCCCAGAACTATTGTCTAAGTTTTTATGTTGATTAGAAGAGAACAAGAGAGTTTCCATCTGATCTGGTCCTAAGTCTCCCTGAGTCTGGGCAGGAAGCAGAGCAGAGTCTGGACAGGAAGCAGGAGGATGCCCAGGGTCCTGGACTTGCCCCTCCTAGCTGCTCAGCTCCTCACCTGTTCACTGTGAGAGAGCTGCCCTGGAATGGGGAATCCATGGTCTCCACAGAGGCTGGGATCCCAGGCTCAAATCTAAATACTGGCTGATTCAGGAGGCTAAGGGAGGCAATTCCCTGGAGAGAGGTGTCAGGATTTGGGACAAAAGCAGCATCTAGTCGCTGTCCACAGAGACCTCAAGGACAGGAATCCACTGGTTCCCAATTGGAGGGGATCCCATGAAAATGAAATGAAACCCACAAGTTAGTACTAGACCGAAGACAGGAGAGTCGTCCTCGCGGCCCCCGTGGAGAGATCGAGCTCAAGGACTGCAAGGCTGGCTCTCCCCTAGTATGGCCAACGAAGAGGATGACCCAGTCATACAGGAGATCCACGTGTACTTGGCCAAGAGTCTGGCAGAAAAGCTGTATCTGTTTCAGTATCCCGTGCATCCAGCCTCGATGACCTACGATGACATTCCACACCTCTCAGCCAAGATCAAGCCCAAGCAGCAGAAGCAAAGGGGAGCAGATTGAGCTGAACGTGGACGGGGCCTGCGTGGATGAGACCAGCACGTACTCCTCGAAGCTGATGGACAAGCAGACCTTCTGCTCTTCCCAGACCACCAGGAACACATCCCATTACGCCGCTGCACTCTACAGGCAAGGTGAGCTCTACCTGACACCTTCACATGGCATTTTGCAGCTGCGGCCCAGCTTCTCCTACCTGGATAAGGCGGACGCCAAGCACCGGGAGAGGGAGGCAGGCGATGAAGCAGGGGACTCTTCACAGGATGAGGTGGAAGACGATGTTAAGCAGATCACGGTGGGGTCCTCGCGGCCCGAGTCACAGCAGGCCCACCAGCGCCGCTTGCAGTCCTATGAGTTCCTGCAGAAGAAGCATGCGCAGGAGGCCTGGGTCCACCTGCATTACTATGGCCTGAAGGACAGCCGCTCTGAGCACGAGCGCCAGTACCTGCTATGCCCAGGCTCGAGCGGGGAGGAGAACACAGAGCTTGTCAAGTCACCCAGTGAGTACCTGTTGATGCTGATGCCGCCCAGCCAGGAGGAGGAGAAAGACAAGCCTGTGGCCTCCAGCAACGTCCTGTCCATGGCCCCGCTGCGCACGCTGCCCCTGGCCGGTCAGATCAAGATCCTGATGAAGAACGTGAAAGGCCATGCCTTTGGCCAACTTGATGAGCCTCCTGGGCCCCGCATCGATTCCGTGGCTGTTCTGCGCGGCATCCAGAAGGTGGCGATGTTGGTCCAAGGGAGCCCGGTGGTGAAGCGTGACATCCTGTGCTCCAAGGACTTATCCAGCCGTCACAGCGGCGTGCCCGTGCCCGCCGGAGTGCTCTGCGGCGGCTGAGACTTCGTTATGCGGAAGTTCACGCAGAGCCGCTGGGTGGTTAGGAAGGAGGTGGCAACAGTGACCAAACTCTGCACCGGGGACGTGAAGGACTTCCTGGAGCACGTGGCCGTGGTGAGGATCAACAACGGCTGGGAGTTCATTCTGCCTTAGGACGGGGAGTTCATCAGAAAGCACCGGGATGCGGTCCAGCGGCAGCACCTGCTGTGGACGGGTATCCGGGCCACACTGGAAAAAGTCTATAATCCTGTAAAGGAAACCAGGCCAAAGAAGCCGGATGCACAATCAGGGCCTGCCGGGCTGGTCTCTGGGGACCAGCGGATCCAAGTAGCCAAAACCAAGGCCCGGCAGAACCACGCGTTGCTGGAGCGGGAACTGCAGCGGCGGAAGGAGCAGCTGCGGGCGCCTGTGGTCCAGCCGGGTGTGCGGATCAAGGAGGAGCCAGTGAGGGAGGAGGGCGAGGACGATGACGAGGAGGAGGAGTTTTACAGTTCATGAACTTAACTGCAGACAAAAAAGTAGAAACTGTACAGACTAGCTCTGTTGTTTGGGATGGAAGCGGGCTCTAGGGCTCTCAGTGTCCCCATTCCGTGGTCGACACAACACCCTTACTTTGTGGAGCGGAACGGCTCTCCCTGCGCCCAGCTGCCCTTCCTCATATTCACGAGGCCCGCAGGTCACAACCGCAGTCTCACCTGTCAGCAGAATGCGCTGCCATCTACCCCAACTACCCGAGCCACCCGGCAATAAAATGAGACACATTACAGAAACATGAGATCACATGAATAATCTCAAAAACATTACGCTGAGTGATTGAAACAGTGCATGCTGTGTGGTGCCATCATGGTGAATTTCTAGAACAGGTAAAACTAACCTGTATAGTGACAGAAGCTACATCATTGATTGCTGGGGTCAAGGAAGTGCGGGGGGGACTGACTGCAAAAGGCACAAGAGAACATTTTGGAGTAACAGACACGTCATCAAACTGGAAAGGGATGCAACTGTACCATATGCAACTCACACCTTAATGAACGTGATTGTGAAAAGTCAATAAAACTCTCCATATCTTAATGTCTTTTACTTAATGTATTGTGTGTTTAGTCTTAGAGGATTCCTTTAGAAAAGTGTCTCTCTATCTGTGATAGGGAGTTCAGGAATTCTTTCATTTCTGTTTCTGTCTCTTTGTCTGCAGTTAACTTCATGCACTGTAAAATGGAATATTTGTAAAATAAGAATCTAAGCTTAATTTTATGAGCATATATATATGCTTATGAATACATATGTTACATATAACATATATATATACACCCTTCTTTTTTTTCTTTTGTTTGACCTGGAGGGGACAGTCTAGCTAACATATATATTCTCTCTGTAGATAGAGCTGAAGGACACGACTCCATTACATTAGGAAAAGTTATTCTTGAACTTCAGCTAATCAAAAATTGTAGCAATTTCTACATTTTCTGTACTGTTAGTATAGTCTATACTTAGCATGTATAATTATTTTTTAAAAAGACAATGGTTTTTAAATGATTTGGAAGAAAAATATGTACATATGTTAACAGTAATTGATTTTAGGTGGTTGAATGTGGAGGGCCAGTTATCTACTTCTTCATGGTTTTAAAAAATATTTTTAAATGGAAAATCTCAATGACCTGGAAGTGAACGAACAGATTAGATACAGAAGGGGTGTGGGGCAGGTGAGAGGAAAATGTGAAGGGAGGACAAACCCGGTTGTGGCAGGAATCATGTTTAAGTTGAAGGTTTCTGGGGAGCAGTTTTTGTGAAAAGAAGGATATGGGGGGACAGGAGAATCGTGAAAATATTTCAGACAGTGTACTGCCTGTCGTCATTCCTCCTTCTCTTGTGTTTCTTCAAAACAAATACACGGGCTTACATTTCTTTTCAAGCATACTTGCCATTTGTGTTTCTCTTTTATTAGTGTAACTGCCCGGTAAGTTTCTCTTGCCCATTGCCCAGAAAAGCCAATGGAGCTGAGAACAGCAGGCTTTCTGCTGTAGAGAAAGGATTTAATAAACACAGAGGCAGCTAAGTGACCAGGACAGGGTTCATTATTACTCAAATCTGCCTCCCCCAAAATTCAGAGACAGGGTTTTATTTTTTGTCTTTTGTTTTGTTTTGTTTTTGGGTAGTTTTGCAGGCAAGGGGCTACGAAATGGGGAAAGCTGATTGGTTGGGTTGGGGATGAAATGACAGACTCAGAGCTTGTTTATTTGCACTGAGTCAGTCCCTGGGTGGAGGCCACAGGACCAGACAAGCCAGTTTACCGGTCTGTGTGTGCCAGCTAGTCCATCACAAGGCAGGGTCAGAAAAACACCTTGAACACCAGTCTTGGGTTTGACACTAATGATGTCATCTACAGGCACAGTTGGGGAGCTTAGGACTCTTGTGGCTTCTGGATGGCTTCCTGAACCTAATTTGTTAGCTTTGCTAAGGATGTCTGATCCCCAAAAAAGGAAGAGGTTTGTGTCAGCAAGGGGCCATCATCTTTTTTTCACACTTAGACTAGAAACTAAACTCCTCCCCTAATTAGCCTGGCCTATGCTCAGCAATGGACAAGGGCAGCTTGGAGGTTAGAAGCAAGACGCAGTCAGTTAAGTCAGATATCTTTCACAGTCATAGTTTTCCTATGTCAGGTTTTTCTCACTGTCATAGTTTTGAGAAGGTGGTTTTTTTAGGAGCAGTAGAAATGCAGTAGTTCTGAGAATGTCTTCTGGAGCCAGGCTGCCTTCACTTCAAATTCCTGCTTTCAAATCCTCTTTCACTGGCTGAGTGACTCTGGGCAGGTTCATTAGCATCTTTCTGCATCTGTTTTCTCATCTGTAAGATAAAGATGGTGGTGTGACTTCTGCCTTAGGTAAGGACACAATGAGTAAACGTATGCACACTCAGCTGTACCTCACATGTGGCACTTTGCATGTCAGGCACAAGGTGATGGGTGTGCATATGTTACTCATGTGCATGTTAGCTCTTGTGTTTTGCCTGCAACACTGCACAAAGAGAGCAGATGTGATGAAAACCGGTTGGGTTGAAGTCACAGCAGTGATACTTTCCAGTGGCGGTGCACCCTCCCAGGGAGACTGCAGCAATCCTCTCACAGCAGTGATCTCCTGGGCTGGGAGATGCCAGGAACATCACTCAGTCTCTGGCAGGTTTTACCCTCAAGGAGATTCAGGAAATGAGCTTTAGAAATATTTCTATCTGGGAGGAACTGGGAGTTGATCAACTAGGTTCATTGCTGAGACCCTTGCAGCAACAGACAGACTAACAGGAGAAGAACATAGGTATTGATTTAATGTAAGTTTCACATGACAGGAGCACTTTCAAAAGGAAATGAAGGCTCATGGAAACAACCAAACCTCAGGGGTTTTTTTAGCAGTAGGTTTTATGAAGAGTGAATAGTCATGAAGCACTATGATAAGGCAAAAAAGTGTGATCTAACAGTAACAAATGGGAAAACGTGGACAGGCCTCTGTGTTCAGGCTCTTCTCTGTGTCCCTGAGTCTTCAGACTCAAGGATACACATTTCCTCTGGGTACAGGGAAGGCACCTCTCACATGAGAGCCTTGTGATGGGCTTCAGGGAAGAAGGGAAGGGGGAGGGTGACAGTGACCTTCCTGCTTCTGCTGTTTTCTCAAATCCCTTCAGCATAAAATATTTTCTCAAGTTCCTTTAGCATAAAATATTCAATACACCACGTATGTAAGCATGCCATGAATGTTCAATAATTGCTATCTGTTATTATTTTCATCAGTAACATAATCTGAATAATCAGTATTGTCTATTTTTAACAAGGAAAAATGCTTAAGGTAACATAAATTACCTTATTTAAAGTTCAGAACAACCAAGGAAATGAGTAACTCGTGGCGAGTATGAGAGGTTCCCTGGCACGAAAGGAAGATCGGCATTGAAGCTATACCAGGACAGAAGAGCTGCAGTAGGAGGACAGAGAGGAAGAGGAGTTCCCCGGGTGGGATGCAGACAGCTGGTTGGATAGCTTCCGTGGAGAAAGGGCACTCATGCGCCACAGGCCTCCGTGCGACCGACCACAGGCCTCGCCTCGGGTCGCCTTTTTCCGGGAAGACGGTGCCCTCGTTTCCTCTGGACTCTGTTGAGATGCTGCAAAGCTTATTGTCCTGGAGCATTTCTCCTCTCCCCAAGGCTCTCCGAAGGAAGGAAGGAAGGGCCGACGCAACCTTCACCCCGAAGTGGTTAAGCTGCAGGGCCCCGGCTCCCGCAGGAGCTTTTCCCGAGTGTCTCTCCTGGGTAAGAGTGGGTCCTACAGGATAATGCCTCCCATTCCCTGAGGAGCAGTGGGGGAGATGCCCACGTGGCCAGCTCCCTGAGCCACGCCCAGGCCCTGTAGCAGGAGCAAGGAGTCCTGGGCCCTCAGCCAGCCCCCTGGACTAGCTGTGCCAAGAGAAGCAGCAAGGGGGCAGGAGCGGGGGGTCTTTCCACCTCAGGGTCTCTGTCATCCTAGGGTTAGGGGACGTGCATACAACTCCCTCTCAAGTGCTGGAGAGGAGGCTAGGTCTTCCCCTGGGCTGGGGGCCTTGCTGTCCCTAGGACAGCTGGGGAGGAAGAGGAGGCAGAGGCGGAAGAGGAAGCCGGCTGAGATGTATGAAGCAGGTCTGGCTGCAGCGGTTAGGGAGAGGGCGCGCGGGACCCAGGAGCTTCCGTGCGAAGCCAGGCCTCAGGAGCGGCTGCCTTGTTCCTGGAAGGTGTGCGTCCTTCTGTTTTGTCTCCAAAGACCTTCTCACCTGATGGGAGAGTGACGTCTCCCATGCTTCCCACCACGCACGCCTTGTGTTCTGTCTCCTGCTAGTGTCTGGCCGCCAGTCCGAGGGGGCTGCGGCTGCAGTGATTCCACCACCCTGGGTGGGCGTTGCCCATCCCTGAGCCAAGAGCTGAGCTTGGAGGCGGGAAGCGGGGAGTCGGAGTCACGTGCAGGCCCGGAGGAGACCCAAGCTCTGGGTCAGAACTTTTTTGTCAATATCCAAGTTCAGCGTGTAAAAGACAGAGCTTATATCTGTCTGTTGTTGAGCTTCAGTGAGAACGGCAAGGAAGCGCCCTCAAGATCCCCAGGAGGACGGCGAAGGATCTCTGGGGCGATGTCCGCGTCCGCGGTGAGCCAAGGCAAGTCAGGAGAGTGCAGGAACCCAGCCGCGGGGGCACAAACACCAGGGCCTAGGAGGGCCGGTGTGGGGAAATTGCAGGGTCAGTGCAGCCGAAGCGCCGTGGACTAGCCTCGTCCAGGGAGAACGCCCTTCCTGCCACGTTCTGTCCCCTGCCAGGTAAGGGGAGAGGGGGGACAGCACAGCCTCCTGTCCCCTGGCTGGACGCTCAGAGTCACCACCTTCCTCTGCCCGTTAAGTCCATCGCCATTCTTCCAAACTACTCTCCTCCAAAGATTCCTCCGACAGTCGCCCACACGACAACACAGGCCTCCCTTCAGCAGCGGCTCCCCCTCCGCAGCCACCGCGCCCTCTCACTCCCCGGGTTCTGGCCGCGGCCTCTGCGGTGTTTGAGCATTTCACCCCCCTGGCTCCCGCTCACACCTGCTTAGGGCACTGGCAACAGTTTTCCATTGGTGCCTACTCCACCTGCTGTCTTCGTGGGGTCAGCGAACATCGCCTCCCTCCACTGCTCAATCAGCAAACTGGAGGGCCCCGCCCAGTCCGCACCCTGGGAGCTTGAGGAGAGCAAAAGAGAGCTGCTGGCTCAGACGAAGGACACTGCCGTGACTCGGATTCGAACCGAGGTTGCTGCGGCCACAACGCAGAGTACTAACCACTATACGATCACGGCGAGCCACAGGGCAAGCGGCGACGCCTGGGCCTGCTCTAGTAATTTTAACATCAACAGATTTCCATTATTAGGCGGCTTTGTTCCCAGACAGCCGCAGGGTGCTCGCGCTTTTCTTCCGTTCTTGCCGGCTCAGCTTTTCCCTCCTTCCTCGCAATCCTCACAGGTAACAAGAGCAATTCTCATCTCCTCCACTGCAGCCTGGGCCTCCCTGCGCCGCCTCTCCCGGGAGGCCTCGCTGTCCTCGTCCACACCTCCTCTGTTCTCTCCCGCCTCTCCGATTTTCTACTTTTCACCCTTTCTCTCTCCCGCTCCTCGGACCCAAGCCGAGTGAAGCCAGGGGAGCCCAAGCCAGTAGAGGGTCGGGTGAAGGCGGAGCCGAGAAGGGGAAGAGCCATCGCGGGAGCCCCCGGGCGTTCTGCTTCCCGTGGGGCCCAGGCGGCTCAGGCCCAGGGAGTCGCGGACCCGGGCGTTTCCTGGGACTCTGGCTTTGACGCCGGCGAGAGGCAGGACAGGGCGAAGGCCACAGGGCTGCCCTTCCAGCTTCAGAATCACCCCATGCACGGGTCTCAGCATTTGCGGCAAGATGCTGTCTCCGGTTTCCCGAGGCTTTGAGTCTACAGGAGCGTTCTGCACAAGGCGGCTCCGCCTAGCGCTGGATGGGCGCCTGCTCTGCACGGAGAGGCCGGACTGCAACGCCACTGTCTGTGGTGTGGTCGGCTGGTGTGCTTGCTTTCAACTCCAGAAGTGTGTAGTTCGAGTCCCTACCGGGGATTGTCTCTTGCATTATAAAAAAGCTTAAGCCGCCAGCAGCTTTCTTCTATCCAGCACGTCCTCTCATGGAAAGTAATGGAAAGGCAGAGCGAGACTAACTTTACCCTCCGCTCCTCTGTGTCTCGCGTAGGACATGAGGACATACATCTAGGGTGGAGGAGAAGTGGGCTGCTCCCCCACTCAGGGTGTCAACAGAGGTCAGTCAGGTGAGAAACCTCTATTTCTACGCACACCTGGCTGCAATGAGATGGCACCAGTCCCCTTCTGCAGAAGCAGAGTCAGAAAAAGGTAGTTAAAATAGAAGGTTTCAATAAGATTGAGAGTCTGATAACATAATAACTCAAGTCCAAGTTTCAACGGAAAATCATTTATCTTACCAAGAATCAGAAAAATCTCTTTACCCTCCCAGTTTGTAATTGTTGAATGAAATAGACAGCAAACACACCCTGGCAGTGAAATGAGAGAGGTGTTGGGATTGTCTGTGAAACAACCTCAAAAGGTCTCACGTCCCTGTTGTTATCAGTGGCAGAAAGGGGAAGAGGAAAAAGACAAGGCTGAAAACATACTTAAAGAAGCAAATGGAGCCGCTTCGCGCCTCCGGCTGGGCCAGGGCGCACGCGGGGCTAGGGACCCCTAGCCCCCCGGGATGGGAGACGCCGGGTGATAGCTCGGGGCCCCATAAATCATCCAGGCGGCCGCTGGGTAGGGATTTTATGAATGAAAAACCAGCTGGGCCGCCCTCGTGCGCGGGCGGATGCTCCGAGGCTCGGCTATACCGGAGCCGACGCGATTGTGGGTGCCCGGGGAGTGGGGAGGCACGTCGGTGGGTGCTCCCTGCTGGGGCCACCTACCGCTCCCCTTGCGCAGTCTAGGGGTAATTACCCCCCAGAACCCGAAATATTAGTAATCCTATTTCCGGGTGGGGGAGGCGGGGCGCGGGAGGAATTCGCCCTGAAAGGTAGGGGTGGGAGGGGGTCGAATCTTACTTTGAGCACCCTGGCTAAGGGGAGGGGATTTTTCTATCAGTTTTCTTTGAGCTTTTACTGCTAAGAGGATACGGTGGTTTGATGACACTAAACTATATTCAGAAGGAAGTAAATGAACAGTTTTCTTAATTAGGGGCAGGTATTGTAAACCAAAACAAAACAAAAGTTAACGCAGTAAAATGTCCTTTTTTTCTAATGCACCAAAGAGGCAAAACCTGTAATTTTAAAAAAACCACCATGTATTTTAATTCACATTTGCTGAAGTTTGCGATAATATTGGGGACCTTCTCCTATAACCACGGACGCCTATGGATTTTGTTAAAAATCAGATCAGTACACTCATTTGTTTAACTGATCATTGTCCTGTATTATGCCCGCCCTTGCCAGCCCCCTCACGCTCAGCAGTGCAGACCCAGGGCAAATTATAAAGGTGAAGGGACGTCTACACCTTCAACAAAACCAATTAGGAACCTTCCGGCGGTCTTGTGCCAGGCAGAGGCGACTAATATTTCCAGCAATTTAATTCCTTTTTCAATTAAAAAACGAGTCAGGACGGAGATCACTGTTCCTCAGCTGTCCTTTCAGAATGTGTTTGGCCCGGTTAAATTGCCGGCACCGGAAGGGAGGGGGTGCATTTGGGGATGCACCCCCAAAGGGTGCGAGGATGGACTGGTCAAGGTAGGAAGACAGCCCGAAGAGTCTCCAGGCTAGAAGGACAAGATGAAGGAAATGCTGGCCACCATCTTGGGCTGCGGCTGGAACTTTTGGGCGTTTATTTTATTTTGTTTTTGAGCGAGCGCGTGCTAAGCTGAAATCCCTTAAATGTTTAGGGTTACCCCCTTGGGCATTTGCACAACCCCCCTGTGCGCCGAAACCAAACACACACAAACTGGGTGGTGTGCCCTGTCCTCCGTCCCTGGCTGCTAAATAGTTCTTGAAATTTACACGAGTTAATGAAAATGAAAGAAGATGCAGACGCTGAGATTCTTTGGCCGTCTGTCCTCTCGTGGGTGCCCTCGTAGCGTTCTTGGAAATGCGCCGGTTCTGCCGGCTTGGATATGGGGTGTCGCCGCGCCCCAGAGTCCCCCCTCCTCGTGGTGTTCCTAGGCTGCCTGTGGCCGGTCAGGCTTCCCAGTTGTCCCCTACTGCAGAGCCACCTCCACCCCACCCCCAAATCCCGGGGACCCATTGGAGTCGGACCGGGCCCCTTGCACCCCTCTTTTCTGGCGGGAAGAAAGGCTGCAGCGGGGCGATTTGCATTTCTATGAAAACCGGACTACCGGGGCAACTCCGCCGCTGGGCAGGCGCGGCGCCTCCGGGATGGCTTTTGGGTTCTGCTCCTCGCTGCTCCCGGCATTTGGCGCCCGCGCCCCCTCCCCCTGCGCCCTCCCCCGCCCCCTCCCGCTCCCATTCTCTGCCCGGCTTTGATCTCTGCTTAACAACAGTAACGTCACCCGGACTACAGGGGAGTTTCGTTGAAGTTGCAAAGTCCTGGAGCCTCCAGAGGGCTGTCGGCGCAGTAGCCGCGAGCAGCAGTGTCCGCGCACTCCGGCGAGGGGCAGAAGAGAGCGAGGGAGCGCGGGGCAGCAGGAGCGAGAGCCGAGCGCGGACGCAGCCGGAACCCACAGCCCTCCCCAGCGGTCCAGGCAGAGCCCCAGCCATGGAACACCAGCTCCTGTGCTGCGAAGTGGAGGCCATCCGCCGCGCCTACCCCGATGCCAACCTCCTCAACCACCGGGTGCTGCGGGCCATGCTGAAGGAGGAGGAGACCTGCGCACCCTCCGTGTCCTACTTCAAATGTGTGCAGAAGGAGGTCCTGCCGTCCAGGCGGAAGATCGTGGCCACCTGGATGCTGGAGGTCTGCGAGGAGCAGAGTGCGAGGAGGAGGTCTTCCCGCTGGCCATGAACTACCAGGACCGCTTCCTGTCGCTGGAGCCAGTGAAAAAGAGCCGCCTGCAGCTGCTGGGGGCCACCTGCATGTTCCTCGCCTCTAAGATGAAGGAGACCATCCCCCTGACGGCCGAGAAGCTGTGCATCTACACCGACAACTCCATCCAACCCGAGGAGCTGCTGCAAATGGAGCCGCTCCTGGTGAACATGCTCAAGTGGAACCTGGCCGCCATGACCCCGCACGATTTCATCGAACACTTCCTCTCCAAAATGCCAGAGGCGGAGGAGAACAAACAGATCATCGGCAAACACGCGCAGACCTTCGTTGCCCTCTGCGCCACAGATGTGAAGTTCATTTCCTATCCGCCCTCCATGGTGGCGGCGGGAACCGTGGTGGCCGCAGTGCAAGGCCTGAACCTGGGGAGCCCCAACCACTTCCTGTCCTACTACCGCCTCACCTGCTTCCTCTCCAGAGTGATCAAGTGTGACCCGGACTGCCTCAGGGCCTGCCAGGAGCAGATCGAAGGCCTGCTGGAGTCGAGCCTGCGCCAGGCCCAGCAGAACCAGGACCCCAAGGCCTCTGAGGAGGAGGAAGAGGAGGAGGGGGAAGTGGACCTGGCCTGCACACCCACCGACGTGCAGGACGTGGACATCTGAGGGCGCCGGCCCCAGGTGCTCCCGGACAACCCCTCCTCTCCGGGGCACTTTGATACCAGAAGGGAAAGCTTCATTCTCCTTGTTGGTTTTTTCCCTTTGCTCTTTCTCCCTTCCATCTCTGACTTAAGCAGAAGAAAAAGATTACCCAAAAACTGTCTTTAAAAGAGAGAGAGAAAAAATAGTATTTTGTAAGCCTGAGCAGCTGGGGACAGGAGAGTCGTGCTACAAAAATAGAGGACTTTATGCCCCAATAATCAACTAGTTTTTATATTAATGTACTTGTTTTTCTGTTGTAAGGGTAGGTATTAACACAAAGGAGAGGTCTCGGGAGAGGATTAGGTTCGATTCTTTGCGTGTTAAAAAAAAAAAAGCATAAAAAACATTTAAAAAAAATAGAAAAATTCAGCAAACCATTTGTAAAGTAGAAGAAGGTTTTAGGTAGAAAAAGGTATTCTTGTGCTTTTCCTGAAGAGCACAGCTGTAGTGCGGTTGTAGGCCTCTCTGTACCTTGCTTGCTCATCTGCATGTACTCACTTTACAAGTCATTGTTTGTTATTATATTCCGTAGGTAGATGTATAACCGCTTCACCTTATCCATGGCTGAAGTCACCTCTTGGTCACAGTAGCATAGCGTGCCCGTATGTTTGTGTCCTTTGTACCTGTGGCCACCACAGTGGAGGTTTGTCAGGCACCAGCCAGCATGGCGGGTTCGGGAAAGGCCACCTGTCCCACTCCTACAATACGCTACTGGAAAGAGAAGACGAAATAGTGACATAATATATTCTATTTTTATACTCTTCCTGTTTTTGTAGGGACCTGTTTAGGAGGTGCTGGTTTTCTACCCAGCGGCCCTGCAGCCAGCTGACGTCCAGGTTCGATCCACAGCTACTTGGTGGTTTTCTTTCTTCTCTGCATTCTAAAACCATTCCATTTCCAAGCACTTTCAGTCCAATAGTTGTAGGAAAGAGCGCTGTATTTGTGTGTGGGGAGGGAGAGCAGGTTTCTAATGGAATGGTTTGGGAATATCTGTGTACTTGTGTGTGAGTAGGACTGCGAGGCAGGTGCAGGCCACCGTGGTGGCAGCGGAGGTGAGTGTTTGGGAGGCTGCGTGCCCGTCAGGAAGAAAAAGGTTTGCATTCTCACATCGCCAGGATGATAAGTTCCTTTCCTTTTTTTTTTTTTTCTCTCTCTGTCTCTTAAAGACGTTGAAGTTTAGGAATCCTTTGGTGCCAACTGGGGTTTGAAAGTAGGGACCTAGGTTACCTAGAGAGCAGGTGGCTTAAGCGTTATCTGAGATGTTTCACACCAGAAGGCTTTTAAACACTAAAATATATAATTTATAGTTAAGGCTAAAAAAGTATATTTATTGCAGAGGATGTTCATAAGGCCAGTATGATTTATAAAGCAATGCAATCTCCCCTTGATTTACACACACACACACACACACACACACACAAACACACACACACACCCCTTCTGCCTTTGATATTGCAGGTATAGTACAGTGTGTTTTAAAGCTAGTCCTTTTATAGGTGAGAAAAACAGTCTGGAGGAAGACCACACACGGACATTAACTCAGCCTGTTTGGGGTTTTCCACAGTCATCTGATTGAAAATGTGTCACAAGGAAAATTCGGGTACTTAACATAAGTTCAGTTCCTAGATCTTCTTATCCCTTGCCCCTTCCTTTAGAAAATACTTGGCGACAAAATAGACAATTTGCACATCTTGGCTATGGAATTCTTGTACTTTTTATTAAAAAATAGGAAGTTTTTTTTGTTTTTGAGACGGAGTTTCGCTCTTGTTACCCAGGCTGGAGTGCAATGGCGCGATCTCGGCTCACCGCAACCTCCGCCTCCTGGGTTCAGGCAATTCTCCTGCCTCAGCCTCCCGAGTAGCTGGGATTGCAGGCAGCGCCACCATGCCCAGCTAGTTTTTTTTATTTTTAGTAGAGATGGGGTTTCACCATGTTGACCAGGATGGTCTCGATCTCTTAACCTTGTGATCCACCTGCCTCGGCCTCCCAAAGTGCTGGGATTACAGGCTTGAACCACCGCAACTGGCCTATTTAGGAAGGGTGGTGGCCAGAGGGTGGAGGCTGATGTGTGAAGGAAGATGGGTGGGAGGAGTGGGGAGGAGGCTCCTGACCAGCCGGTCGGTGCCCACGCCAGGGACAGGCTGCAGCTCCGTTTTCTTTCTGCGCTGCTACCTTTGACTTCCAGGCACAGTTTGGAAACATTCACATCGCTTCTCTGTATCTCTTTCACATGGTTGGCTGCTACTGGAGGATCTGTTTTTTGTTTTACAATGTCATATACTGCCATGTACTAGTTTTAATTTTCTCTTAGAACACTGTATTACGGATGCCTTTTCTGTATTTTTATTTATGTGTTCAATTTTGACTTAATGTGATTACTGCTCTATTCCAAAAAGGTTCCTCATGCTTCACTTAGCCATGGTGGACCCAGCTGGTAGGTTCTGTCTGCTTCCGCACGCAGACACGTGGGCGCAATCCTGCACCGGTGTCCCCAGAGACCGGGCTGTGTTCATCTTCTCTTCCCTGCGCCTGTGATACTGGGCTCTTCATCGGATTGTAGCGTCCTCGTAGTTTTTACAGCTGTGTCATTCTTTGCGTGTAGCTATGGAAGTTGCATAAGTATTATTATTATTGTAACAAGTGTGTCTTACGTGCCGCCATGGTGCTGCGCCCGTAGGACTCTGCTTCGGGATGATTGGAATATCTTCTGGAATTTGTTCAAGTTTTGGGTGTGTTTAACCTGTTATGTACTAGTGTTCTGTTTGTTATTGTTTTGTTAATTACAGCACAGTGCTGATTTAAAAAGACTCCAAATCTAGATGAAGCTAGCTCACAATGCTGTGTGCCCGAGTCACCTAGCAAGCTGCAGAACCAAAAGAATTTGCACCCCCACTCACCAGGCCTGCATGGCTAGAGCCCTGCCCTGGCAGGGTCATCCTGTGCTCCGAGGCCATCGCAGGCACACGCCCATCCCACCCCACCCCTCCGGAACACGGCTCACGCTTACCTCAGCCATCCTGGCTGCAGCGTCTATCTGAACCACGCAGGGCCCTTGAGGGACACTTTGTCCGTCATGATGGGGTGAGGGCATGAATCCTAGATGTGTGTGTGTTGAGAGGCCAAAGGCTGGTGGCAGGTGGACGGGGCACTGCAGAGTCTGTCCTGTGAGGCACACGTCTGAGGGTCTGGGCAGCGGGCAGCTGGGTCTGTTTCTGGTTGCACCATGGCGCTTCCCAGCACCCACATGTAACCGGCATGTTTCCAGCAGAAGACAAGAGACAAACATAAAAGTCTAGAAATAAAACTGGTAACCACCCCCCACCCAAAAGGAAGCAAATGGCTGACAGCTTCCCATATTTGGCAAGAGACATAAACCTACAGGCTCAAGAAGCTGTAAGAACCCCAAACAGGATAAAACCAAAAGAGGTCTATGACCAGACACATGAAAGAGTGAAATGTTGGAAACTAAAGGCAAAGAAAACACCTTGACAGCAACAGAGAAAGGTGACACCTCACCTAGAAAGGAAAAGCAATTCCAGGGACGATGGACTTTTCATCAGAAACCATGGAGGCAGAGAGAAGCTGTGCAATGCTTTTCATGCCATGAAAGAAAACGTTTGTCAGCCCAGACGCCTTTCTCCAGCAGAAATAGCGTTCAAGGATTAAGGAAAAGATCAAAACAGTTTCAAGGTAAGAAAAGCTAAGGGAATCTCTCACTTTAAAAGAAAGGTTAAAGGAAGTTCTTTAGACAGAAAGAAAATGAAATGATTAAAGAAGGAACCTTGGGATATAGAATGAATGAAAGAAAGAAAAAGGAAGGAAGCAAGGAAAAGAAAGGAAGGAAGGAAGGGCAAGCAAAATAGGCCTTCCTTCTGTTGAGTTTTCTAAACTATGCTTGATGGTTTCAGAAAAAAATCATAGCACCATTCACTGTGGTTCTATCTCTCCATAAAGAAAATGTTTGAAACCATTATAAACTGGGAGGGTAAAGAGACCTAAAAGGGAGGTAACTTGTCTATCGTTCATTTGAACTGGCAAAACAATGACATCAGTATACTGTGTGGTAAGATAGAGATGCACAGACAAATAAATATATATACCTGGAAAAACTAAGAGGGCTATACAAACAGATATACTCAAAAACACTGTGGAGAAAGTAAAACTTAATCCTCAGAGATGTTCAAGTCCCCACAGGAAGGTAAGGAAATGAAAGCATACCCAGAAAATGAAACCAGAGGGAATGCGCAGAGAAGGAAAAATAAAATGGCAGACCGAAGCCCCCCCACACCAGTCATCACAGTAAAGATCATGGCCTGAGTACACTGATTAAAAGATACAGATGTGCAAAGTAGGTTAATGGACACGACCCAACTGCCTCCTGGCCACACAGAGACTATCTTCAAATATGATGCTACAGGCAAGTGGAAATCAAAAAGATGGAAAAAGATATATCATGCAAACGTTAGCCAAAGGAATGCAAGACTGGCTATGTTAATGCCATATATAGTATATTTCAGAACAAAGAAACTAATCAGAGGCAGAGAGGGACACTATATAATGATGAAAAGGCCGATCCATCAACCCCTCCCCTGACAAAAGTCATCAATGTCTATGCAAGGACAACTGCGAGTGCTGAGCAGAGAACTAGACAGATCCACACAGAGCTGTTCACTTTAGCATCCACCTTTCTTCACAGTTTATACAACAACACACAGAAAACCAACCAGAATATAAAAACCCAACAACAAAATCAACCAGTGGGACTTAAGCTGACAATTTTAGAATCCCCAACCACACCAGAATACACATTATAATAAGATGCATTGTGCCCAGTCCTCCCAAATTCATATGTTGAAATCAGAACACTATTAGCCACTAGTGATATGCTAATTAAAACCACACTGAGAAATTTCTACATACCGGTCAGAATGGCCACAATAAAAACATGACCACATCAAGTGCTGTCAATAATTCAGAGAAAGGATCACTCATACATTGCTGGTGGGAATGTAAAATGTTACTGCCCGCTCTGGAGAACATCTGTATAGTTTTTACTTTTAGAAGTCTGTGTGCAACTACTCTACCACGTAGGAATTGCATTCCCTGCCTTTAGCAAAGAAAAATAGAATCTTATCTTCACACAAAACCCGTGTATTAGAATTTATAGCAGCCTTGTTTTCAGTAGCCCAAACTGGGGAAATAACATATAGACGACTTTCATGAGGTGAATGGTTAAACCAACAGTGATATATATCCATAGCCTCAAATAGCCCTCAATAATTTTTTTTAAAAGAACAAACTATTGATACTCACAATAACCTGAATATATCTCCACAGAATTATTCTAAGTGGACAAAGGGTAATCCCAAAGGTTACATGTAGGATTCCGTTACGTAACATTCTTGAAATGAAGGAATTATAGGAATTGAGAGTAGATTAGTAGTTGCCAGGAGTTAAGTAAGAAAGGAGGAGCAGCACTGAACAGACGGGGCGGTGTTTACAAAAAGGCAGCAGGATGAATCATGGTGTTGATAGAAAGGGTCTGTATCTTGCTTGTATAGATGTCAATCTCCTGGTGCTGTGGTATTTGCAAAAGATTTGCAATATTTGCAAATATTGCCATTTTGAAAATATCACCAAGATGTTACCATTGGAGGAAACTGAGTAAGGGGTACAAAAGATCTCTTTTTTCTCCCTGAGTTCTTAAGATTTTATGTGAATTGGCCCGGTACGGTGGCTCATGCCTGTAATCCTAGCATTTTGGGAGGCTGCGGTGGGTGGATCACCTGAGGTCAGGAGTTCAAGACCAGCCTGGTCATAATGGTGGAACCCCATCTTTATTAAAAAAATTAAAAAAAAAAGATTGTATGTGAATTATTTTAAAGTAAAATTCACTTAAAATAACGTAAGTATATTTCTCCTTGTTTGATCATGTCTTTGCTCAGAAAACACTAAGGCAACAATTTTTTCCTGACACCTTTATTTTCTTGAAGACAGTTTTAACAAATGCTGTTCTTAGGACTTATCCTAAACTTGTAACATTTCTACTAATCCTTATTGTTCTTCTCTGAGAACCCTCCAGGATTTCATTTTATTTATTTTATACCTTTCAAAAGCATAGAGACAAAAATCACAACTGACGTATAATACTGTATTAGTCCGAGTTCTCCAGAGAAAAAACACAAGCAGGACACACACACATACCCACAACTCACACACACACACACACTCACACACACACACACACATGCTCACACACATACACACACACCAACTCATACACACTCACTCGTGCAGCAGCAGAGAAGTCCAAAGTCTACACTGAGTAAGCTCTAGACCCAGGAGAGTTGAATATAGTTCACCACCAAATCCAAGGCCCACGGCAGAAGACTCATGTCCCACCTCAAAAAAGTGGAGCAGAAAGACGACTTTCTTACCGTTTCATTCCATTCAGGCCTTTTTTTGGTTGGATGAGGCCCAGTCGGGAGGACATCTGCTTTATTCAGTTTACTGATTCAAATGTCGATCTTGCCCGGAAACACTCAGAGACACAGTGAGAAATAATGTTTAGCCAAATACGCAGGCCACCCGTAGCCCAGTCAAGTTGACACAAAAATTAACCTTCACAAATACTCTCAACAAAAGTGACTAATAGCATCATGTCCCACCTGTTTATTTTATGGACAATTAATATATTTCAGTGTAACACTGGCTTCCTTCCAGTTACAATAGAAACATGTAGACATTTCATTTAAAGTGAGGCTAATTTTGATCTTATGGAGTCTCTGCCCACCCCTACCTACCGTTGCCACTAGTGGATTATCATTTTCCCGTGACTTTCTTTTACAAAGTATCAGTAAGCTCTATACTTTGCTAATGTGAGTTTGAATTTCATCCTGGCAGCAGAAACCACTTTCCATTTTGACAAAGCCTGGAAATATTTGTGTCCATCTTCTTGAATATGGTTAATGGATACCTATTGTGGGCCCCAGTCTCAATCTCATGGTTTTCTTTCTTTTCATTCAGGTCTCAACAGATATGCCTGGGCTGCCTGAAAGCCACTGAAAATGGCCTGTGGCCTTGTCCAACTAACAGAGTCCAGGAAAATCCAGGCCATGGACTGGGGAGATGGAAAGTGAGAGCCACCAAACTCAGCACACAATGACTCAGTTTGAACCTCTGGGCTAAGAGACGATCAGACTCTCTCATGGCTTCTAGCAGCGTAAGACTGTCCTGCGGATGGCCCTAGGCTTTCATTACCATCCCTAGCCAAGAAAGCTCAAGGCTGCCAGGGGAACTAGCTTTAGTTCTAGCCCATACCTGCTGGTGACGGTGGGCTCAGGATCTCCCTTTCTTATGGCACTTATTAAGAAGGGAATCCTTCCTCCATCCCTTTGAGATGTGTGTATATCTCCTAGGAGCTCCAGTGCATCTTTCCCCAGGATCTGGAAGCCATTCATTTGAGCTGTGGTCCTCAGGAAGGACTGAGCCTCTGTTTTCCAGTCTCTGTGGGAAGTTAGAATCCTAACTTCGAATATGACCAGCTAGAAGACACAGTTGGCCTGATGAGGAAGAAGTGTCCAGTCACCAACCTTTTTTAATGTTTCACTTGTGCCCTGCCCCCTGCCCTCTCCCCTCCCTCCCTCTCCTCTTTGAATGCCATCACCTCTGCACAAATGGGAATGGAGCTCAGCCCCTTCCTTTATGGTCAGTAATTACTGAATAAAATTCATTGTAACTGCTTTGACTAATGTCTGGCTTTATTGTTGACATAATAACTGTGAGTGATTGTTTTAGTGACACAG